AAACCAGTTAAATTTGAGATGGTTGGGAACAGGTTGGATTCTTCTTTATCTTGTGGCTATTTAGTACCAGTCTAACAATCTCAGAATCAGAAAAGCTCAAATTCCTTTTCCTGTATCCTCTCTGGCATGATGCTGGGAGGTGGGTATAGCATAACCATTTCATTATATCATGAGAGATGCACATAGCTTGTCACATAGAACTGTAGACATTTAACAGGTTAAAACCATTTTCCCTTGAGGTTAATCTAATGATTTCTGTTGATTTCAATGAGCATTGGACAGGGCCCTTAGTGCAGCTTTTCCCCATATGTTTTAAAATTAACGTTTCTTGCCAATATTTTCAGGTTTATTGTAGCTTCCTTCTGCCTCAGGCAAGGAAAAACAACAGGACACAATGACAGCACATTATTGGAAGTAGCATGATAAATTCCAAATAGATATAATTAGCATATGACCCAAAAGAGACCTGCATATAATTAATATTGAAATATGGTGCATGCATTATATAGGAAAACATATTGTGTATTCAGAGCGGAACGCTTGGAGAATGGAGCTCTGTCTGTAAATGGCTTGTCATTTTTTCATTTTAATCAGAATTGAAATTTCTGCACTTGAAGAAATGGAGAATGATCATTAAAAACACTTGGACTTTAGAAATGACACCACCTGCTTCCTTTTCCTCTTTTTTATTGTGACAGTGGGTAAAAATCCTTAAATCTTCAACCGGGGAAATGTGCACTAATGGGGAAACAGACCTCTGAGGAGAAAGCAGACTGACAAGCTGTTCAGGAGCATGAGGCTTTTCAACAAGTAACATTCACTTCTCTAGTAATTCTTGGTAGATTATGTCATATCGAGAAGTCCATACTTATTCGGACCCAGCAAAGTGAATGAGTAACAGATACATAATGAGCACCCATGAAAAAGGGAAAGAACATCTCAGATATAAGGTGAAGATTAAGAGAGGTAAAGCCACCAGTGAGCTGTGAATGTGCTGCCTTCTGAGTGACATTCAGTTCGTATCACACAGCAGCTCATTACACAGTCTGTTTATACCAGAGGGAAACAAATATAAAAGTTAGTCCTTTATATTTCATATTAAATGCAAAGAGTTCAAGGGAACTGAACGACTTCATTATGGAATCTGATACCACCCTTTGTATTTTGCTATTTTAAGTAAACTGAATAATTTTAGTGGGTTTTTAAAAGACTTTATATCAAATATTTAATTAACATCTATTCTGCAACTTTGGAAGCTGAAGCTTTGGATCTGGGATATAATTTTTTATCGTAATGAATAAATATAAAACAGACGTTAAGCAGAGGCAATAAATTTATTCTTAATTGTAACTCTAGAGATGACTTTCTCACCAAAACACATTTTTTTTTTTCTCTCTGTAGCTTTAATTCTCAGCTCTAATTGACACAGAGCACTGTCCAGCTATATTTCTGGATATAATAGTTCTTCCACTTATATTTTTGCACTAAGATAAATGCAGTTCGTAGTCACATTTTCAAGTAATAGTCTTCACAAACAGTCTATGTCGTGGCTTAGTAGTTTCGAATTCAACATTTTGGATTTTGTGGCAATTCTGTCTGATAAGGTTGTTGCTACAGAAGGTATCCGGCATTTTTGTTCTTGAAATCTCACATGGGTGATTGTACAGTAGACTAAAGGATGGCTGGTGTCTGCGGGCAGACTATCTTGCATTGTGACCTCGCTAAGATTTCCTTAGTTAAATGAAGTTTGATTTGAAGCAGAGCTGAATAGAAGCTCTTTAAGCTAAACCCAGATTGCAGTGGGAAGTGCTGTCAGTCAGTTACAGTCTAGCACTTTTCTGTGAGTTAGTGCTTGGGACTGATGTGTCTCTGGGTTTTGAACCATTGCCCAATGTAAAATTGAGCTTTCAAATGTAAGTTCATTAAAGAGAGCCTAACAATGGTCACAGAAGTGGCATAATTGGGCCTAATAGTTTGTTTCACCATGTTTCATGTGTTCTGAATGTTTTCTTCAATTAATAATTATCCTGCATTATTCGTTTCCTTTGCTAAATAGTTGTTTAATACTATGGTTGAAAACAATGAAATTCTTCCCTTACTGTGATTTCCAAGCAATTAGTTCTGGGCAATGGGTTGCCCATGAAAACTCCTGACAAGTCTCATGGCCAGAAGAAAGGAAAAAATAAAGCAAACTGAGATTATTATGGAGCAAATTATAGACTTCTGTACAATATTGCTCAGTTCTGTTGCCTTTTGGCAAGCAAAGCTTTGGATAGCTATCCTAGAAAAAAAAGCTGAACTGTTTTGCGTGTATTTTATTTGCATTAAATGCTTTTGGAATTACTCCGGTACAGATTCAAAAGACTGGAGAAGAGGTTACAAGCAGAGGGATCTAGGGGGGAAAAAAAAGGGACAGTGAGAAAGCTTCTTTGGGCTGGTCATAATTATAACTGAACTTATCTTGAAGTGTTTGTTAATTGAGTATTCAACCTGCTCGAATCTTCACATTTTCATGCTCTTCATTATATGAAAATTATATGACAACATGCTATTTTATTTTTTTTTTTAAATTGCTGCAGAATGTTTTATTAGCTTTATTTCCAGGACTATCCTGTTATTTATTCAGTGCTGATAGCAAACAGTTCATCTTTGGTGTACAATGCACAACACAGACCTTCAGAGCCCAGTGAAGACAGGCTTGTTAATACATGAACTGAAATGTTTCCGAGGCCCATGTTTCATCCACAGCAAAACTGCTGTGCAGGTTTTTATGATGATCTGATAAATGATTAAGCAAATAAATTTATATTTCAATCCCACCACGTTGAAATCAATGGATCCGTTAAACTGCGCTACTGAATTGGATGACTGGGCTGGAGACACCTGAAGACACGAAACTTCTACAAATACTCAGTTCTTAATTCCAAAAATGGTGTGGCTACTGCAGATCATTTACAAAATGCATTGTTAAACTAAAAGTACAGTGGCCTCTCAGCTTCCCTGATTCCTCTACCCATTTATATAGCCCACTCTTTTTTCCTCTTTTGTTGTTAAATATAAGTTCCAAATAAGGATCTCTGTCAGTCAATAGTGCAGGTGTTTTTATTTTACCCTTTTCAAGCAGTGAATACCATTTTTAAGTTGTTACAAGGTACTAGCTGTATACAAAATAATGCTTCTGATGGTAAAATTGCCAGTTACATGTCGTAATTCCTTCATCGACTGTCAGACCTGTCATGTTGCAGAATGGTAGGTCAGATGAATTGGTTATTAATAGATCTATTCAAAAATAAGCATTTAGGGTTTATTTCCACACACACACACACAAAAAAAAAAAAAAAAAAAAAAAAAAAAAAAAAAAAAAAAAAGTGAGTAATGTCTTTATCCTTTTTAGCCGATTAATAAACTGTTATCCCTAGAATAGTAATTTCAGGACCATGCCATTATTTGCTAATTCTTCATTTTTTCATTTCTTAAGAAAATATTAAAATTGCAGTTGGCCACAGCAGGACAGGCCCATGCATCACTGAAGAAACCAGTAATTTATGGTGCATTTGAAACTCTATATTAACATTCCAGGCTGTAATGAAGTTTCATATCGAACAAGGTCAGGCCTGATTGTATGATTAAATAATTTGAAAATGTTATTAAAAGTTTGCATTTCTCTTCAGATTTTCAGCATGACCATTTTACGTCGGGGCACTCCATTAATCAAAGCCGCACAGGCTTTGTTGGGTCATGTTCATTCTGTCACCTATGTGTGCAGACATGGAGTGATCAGGTTAAACAAGCTGCAGAGGGGTTATAAAGTTCTCACGAGTGGTTGGTTTTTATCTTTTCCTTCCAACCTGGAAATCAGATACGTATCAGTGGTCGTGGCCAGGTCTTGGCTTGGGCCACCACACTGGGGAAGTTGATGACTTACACCACAGCCTGGTATGTATTATCTTTTGAATGGTTAATTCTTCTGTTATGCTTCCGATTAATCATCCATTTTTACCAAGCGCTCAGGGTACAGAGCTGCATACCTGGTACACATCAGCACCTCCAGGCCTCACTGATCCTCATCACAGCAGCCTCTGGTCCTTCAGAATCCGACGGATTATCCTGACGCCACCTCGCAGCGCTACAACCCCTGTCTGCTCACAGAGAAGCAAACTACTGAGCTGAGAGGACGGATCTGAGGTTTCTCTGGGCTTCTGTGATACAGTGGCTGGTTAAACTCAAGTCTCCTAAATCTCCTGCTTGAACCTAATCAGTGTTTTGGGAAATATGTAGAAACATTTTGCATGTTAATGAAGTGCTGTTTGCTAATGGATGACACCTACAAATATGGCGTTTGAGCACAGGAGTGACTCAATGGGCTTTTTCCCTGTGATTGAGACAGTCTCTACAGCCCCTTAAAAATAAACCAGAGTACAAGACATTAATACTTTATGTACTTTTAATTGAATGGGACTGCTATTGAGTTTGCTGGCTGCAAAACCCCCATTAATATCCACATTTCCACGTGTGGAAGTCTGTGAAACAGAATTCCTCCTGCAAAATTACACTAAGCCATCTTTCATCCTGCTACTTAGCGAGGACCTTTGGTCCTTGTTTCTCAGCTCTTTTCCTCAGCTATAGCACTTGTCAGTTTGTATTATGCATACTTGTAAATAACAGAAAATGAAAAAGATATTATCCAGGTAGAAGGTCGTGGAAGATTTACAATATGGGCTTTGAATAATCCCAAGTGTTAAATTATTAAATTTAGTGTGTGTATAAATGTATGTGTTACATATATTTTAGATATATATATGTATGTATTTATATAAATATAGATATATAATTGTAAACATTTCCTTCTCCAGTAATGGCTAAGCTCCAATACTGGAAGATATAGCAGGAGTTCTGCCATTGATATCATCAGTGTTGGATCATGCCAAGAGGATAAAATAAAAAACAACTGTCATGTATGTTTTGTTCCCTGAATTTACTTTCTTCTGCTTTGGTGGCAGAGCTGGCCATCCTCCATGAGAGGTCAAAGCATCTAACGAGGAAATAGACCCTTAAGAGAACACCGTCGTTCAAGTCAATGCTGCAGTTGAGAAGAAGGATGGGAAGGTGGCGTGCAAAAAATAGAGCAGCTCTGACTTTTCCCCGAAAGCTTGTCAAGAAAAAAAAAAAAAGATTTCAGAGCTGGTATTTTTGCACTACATATTCAGCATTCACAACAAACTCATAATGCCAAGAAATGTGGATTGTAACCTGAATGAAATGAAAAGTGGAGCTTTGGAAGCTGAATGGCTGGTTCCCTGCCCTGTTCTCCTCTCTTTGTAAAGGTAATGAAGGTTAACCTGAGCAATCAGATAGGGATTCCTTTTGTATAATTGAATTTCTGATGGCTTTAATCCACCTACCGATGGTTTATTGCATAAAAAACATGTCAGGGAGCTGAAAGCGAATGCCTGGAGAGTTCAGCAGTACAGAGCCAACAGAATGGTTCCAGGTGCTGTGAACAGGAGCAGGCTTCCAGCTGCTGTCAGTGTCATCGCAGACCAAACACTCTGTCCCCAAGTCCCAAGGAAAATACCAGTGGTGTCACACACCAGACACAGCTGAAGCGGATTTGCTGTAGTTCTGGACCTACAAGTTTTGTTCTCCTTTTAACACTCTGAACTGTAAAATAATAAATGTGCATTTGCAGACTGTTATCTCTGGGCCTTGCCAGAGATATGTCATCTGATTATGCATGTAGGTAGCATTTAACATCATCTGCCCTGACACATTCATAAGATAAGACAAAAATAATATTTTATCACCATGCAGTAACAGCCTCTTATCAAACTCCAAAGTCTTAATTAGGGATTTCTCTCCAGTTTCCCGCTTGTCTGATGACCATATAAATGTCTAAACTGGATAATTAATACAGTCTATACGGCATGATAGTATACAGCAATTTAAAGCTCTATGCAGTAAGCTCAACAGAAACATTTCCCTTTTACAGTGCTGGGAATTCATCTAAATATGTGCATCTAGAAGTTCCTCTTATGATATTGATTCTACTTTTTCACTTTATAGTTTCTGTGAGGGAATGCTATTGTCTCCATTCTTCATAAACTCTGAGAGATGAAAGGGTATTAGGTTGTTTATGATCCTTGGCATAAATGACTTTCTATGTTTTATTTCAAATCTTAATCAATATTTGGTCTGTAGTTTGCAGATTAATATACATACAAGATGTACACATTCTACAGTGGGAAAAACCTACCCAGTGCTTCATTTATATTCCAAATCTATGATCCCTATTTTTCTTAGCAAAAAGCTTCTTGCAAATTTAAACTGGAGCTTTTCAAGTTCCTTATCCATTTCTACCACTGTAGGAATTATGTCTAATATTTAAACAAGTTTTTAGGGAATGAGGCAAAGACTGAGAAGTGATATTAGTCTCTACAAAAACCACGTTTCCAGAATTTTCCCTTGATTGTTCTTTAAATATAAGTAGTGGCATCTGTTTTTTTCAAGCAATTACTAAAGGGAAAATATTCCTGGAAGTCTTCACAGTCTAATGCACTGGTGTGCGATTTGTGTCTCCTAGATGAAGAGATTCATAAAATTTTGAAACTCCTTACAGGTCCAGCCAGGAACAAGGCGGATCCATCATGAGGGGAAGAATTTTAGGTTCATCTCCCCGTGCAGGACAGCTGGATGGGTGGGACCGTCGTTTTGGGGCAGTGCTGTGCTTAACCTGGGGGTAGTGGGAGCAGCGTCTGACCCAGGCTGGGCACAGGACAAAGCTCCAGAAGCCATAAACTGAACACTGCCACTCCTTGAACTTAACATACGCAGAGACAGTGATGTCAGAAACCAGCGTTAATTGTATGCAGCAAGATCTGAGACCAAATTTACAGGCAACAGAATATAAAGAATATTAATATCAGAAAATCAGTAACAATTTCAAACTCTGGGGGAGAACTGAGATCACTGCTACTGAATTTGTAGTAGCTGCTTAGAGATGTAACAGTAAGATTTCAACAGTTCAGAAACTTTGCTTACAGTTGGATTTGTTCTGATCAAAGAGCCTGTTAAAGAAAAAGGAGGAAGTAGGAAAAGCACAAAAACAAGCAAGATGGACTGATGCCACAACACAGTGCTGGCCTTGGGAAATTAATTCTAACACTTGGAAAACATTGTAGCTGTCTGCGTCACAAGAAAGACGTTAATGATGAAATAAATTTGGGGAAATCTGAGGATGATTGCAGAGGATCTGCTCTATGGGATGGTGAAGACACTAATAAAATTCAAAAAATTTCCAGATAAATTTTGGACCACTAGAAATTTATTTTTAAACATGTAAATGGATGTCTAACTAACTGTAAATTAAACATTTAAAAAAATTTTAAATAATATTTTAACTAATTTAGATACTCGATTCAGGAATTTTTTTTTTTTTTTTTTGAGTTTCCATGTTTTTCCTTGTTTGGGATAGCTTATGACTTTAATAGCTTAGTATGAATGGAGAATAATTTCTAGGGTCATCTAACGTTTACCTGTTAGATTGTTGCTTTATGCAAATTCCTGCTTAGCTGATATTTTTGGTGATGCATGGAAAAGAAATAAATGTCTGAAGAATAACACTGTTTATGGACCCGCAGCTGACCCTGTTTGTGACACTTTAATTTTGTGTTTCTCCTGCTCTCTCCAGAGGACATTTTGGACAGCTGCTGTTTCTTACTGGGTGCTTGCATCTAGCTATTGTTTGGGGCTCAGAAAATATGCTATAACTCACATACAGGTACATTGGGCCTTTCCATTTCCTCTAAAAATGAAAAGGGATCCTTCTTCTGTTAAAAGTTTACTTATTTTTCAGCTGTTATATTCATTTTTATCAGATTTTCTGGTATAAAACTGATTTACCTGTGATATTTCTTTCTCTCCTGAGAAATTCACATCTGTTTCTAGCACCTGTCTCTAACTTCATTCAAAACCAGTGGTGGTGGGAACATTAATTTTATGGATATATTTGTATCATTGCGTTTCTGTCAATAAATCATTTGTTATTTTCAGGAAGAACCTGCAGCCTCTACCTATCAATATTTTTCAGAAGCAGAGCTAATGCACAGCAGCTAAAAATAATCTCAGGGAACAAAAATGAAAAATACAGAGAAGTCAATGTTGTGAGTTAACACTGGCGTCTTCTGAATATTTTTACCAGAAAAGGACCAAAGAATCAGCAAAGCATCAGCTTGTTTCAGCAAAATTTATAGTAGTAATCAGTTCCTGTACAGCTTTGATACCCCTTCGGCTTTTGACTCTTGATTTAAATCACTTCTCCGGGAACACTGTGAATAAACCAGCACCCTGCACACAAATACAGTCCACAAAAGGCACTCATTCCCTCCCCAGAAGTTCCATTTTTTTTTTTTTTTTTTTTTTTTTTTTTC